AAATAAAAAATAATTAATATTAAATATAATAAAATACTTATAAAGTTATAAGTTGAAATAGCTTAATAACTTGTATTTTAATTAATTAAATAATATAAAAAAGTAAAATCTTATAACATTTAATCAGGTTAAAAATCTAATTATATTATTTTTAAAAAGAAAAATATGTAATCATAATAAAAAAAATGGAAGTTCAGGGAGTCGAACCCCGGACCTTCTAATGATCACATTGACTTAAGGTTATTAGTGCGATTCAAACGTCATCGCCAACGGTTGTGTTAAGGCTGCAAGCTCGTACCCGTAGGGATTTTCATCCAATTAAAAACCAGATAATAAATGGTACTTTATTTTATACTTAAATTACACTATAATAAAAGCCTAGTTAACATTCTAATTACAAAGAGCTACGTCCCATACATTACACCCTTAACGTGACTAGCGGTCACTTGAGGTACCTAGCTAGTAGTAGCTGCAGTCGATTAATGTGGGTCCAAGTGACCTGCTGCAGCCTTAACACAACCGATGGGATAGCCAACTAGACACCCGGTGTTAGCGATATGGTAGAGCGCTTTGCTTTATTTTTCGGATCCCGTAGTTCTTAGATTTCCCTCCAGGAATTCTAACACAGATTTATGGTGGCCACTGGCTTCGGAATTATCGCATTATTACATCATTGCCATATCTTCAAAAATGAGTTCACCCTTATTATATTTGTAAGCTAAGCGCATGGCGAGTTCATATAGTATAGGAAGTTTTAGATACTGGTAAGTGGTTCCCATTCTTTGCTAGCTCAATACTAAACAGTAAGAGTTGCTGCCATGCATTATGGGGTATTTTAATAAAGCTCTGCGTGGTAATTCAGGAAATCATGTACGTATCTCCACTGAGTTGCTGTATCGCAGCTCAAGAAGATTCTCAGAAGCTTCGAATATTCATGTACGAACGAAAGGCGGCTGGAAGTAGTACCATCGGGGAGCATAAAAGAGCTCATATATGTTCCGGAACGCCAGATATACAAAACACATTTCACAACAACGCAGACGATAGCTGTTTTGAAGCGGAGACGCATGGAGACAGGCGTGTCCTCTTTCTTGGTAGTTGTCACACGGCCAAGGCCTGGATAAAGGTATCGGATATCGAAGGTTACACAACAACAAGAAAGGTATCACGAGAGCCCGGAGTCGGACCTTGGCGAGGGCTGCCTCAGGCTGCTAGAGCTCACCGACTTCTTGTAGATATAAAGACTTTTGGTGCCTTAAGACCTCTTAAAGAACCAAGGACCTTTGATACCTTCAAGTCGATTATTAAGTTTGAATTGAACCTTACGTTCCAAGCCCAGTCACCCTGCCCTTGTCACAATAGTGTTTCTATGCACCTTAATAGCTAGGTTATAACTCATTCAAAATGTTAGTGTCCGCAAACGAGCACATCCGAGATACTCTAAGAACCGCTGCATTGAACCCGCCGCAGAACATTGTATTTAAGGGGTTAGAATATCAGCCATGAATAGGTATTGTTCATGGCGCTGTGTCTCAGTGTAGCAAGGGCTCGTGATACGAGGGCTTGGAGGCACAATGCTTCAATTTAGAGATAATCTCGAATGGTGTCAAAGGTCCTTGGTTCCCTTAAGCCTTAAGGACGAGGGGGAACCATCTTATATACATGAAAGGAACGGTCCGTGCCTAGGGTCTCTATAGTTCCCGTGATCCTATCGTGTAACTAACATGGCCGAAGCTAAGCCTAACCGTGTGACACTGGCCAAAAACCTGTACACATATATAGAATTCTGTAGAAACCTTGCTTCCAATAATAAGTTTTTACAGTAATCAATTATACCAGAACAATAGCACGCCAGATCTTTCTCCAACTCCCATGTTGGACATACATAGCCGCTCCACTTCATGAATAAAACAGACGTTGCCAGCTGCGAATTGATGATGACCAATTATCTTCTCAGTAAACTCTGGCTCCCCGTAGACGAACAACCTAATAGTGGGTCGCTCACACGTCCGTTGTTATTTTATGCTTCCGCCTTTTTTTTTTTCCCTTTTTCCCTTTCGCCCCAGTCAAGTCAGAATTCCAAACCCAAACTTTTCATCCGCGTCGGTAAGATTTGCTGTTAGCCTGCGTTCAGATGTCTCTGTAAGCTTTGACTTACTCTTTGATATAGCGCGAACACTTCCTCGACGTTGTCAAGGTCGCCCTGACTAGTTTTCGCCTTGTCTCGCTGATAAGGTCACCCATCTGGGGGCCTCTATCGACCTTCCACCACCTTCTCGACGTCTAGGTATGTGTCTATTCTTACAACGAATTCGTGGGACTCTGTCTGATCAGATAACGAATCAAGTCCGGCAACGTTACTCACCTAGGGAGCTTCTGACCCTCTTTCGCATTCTGTCTCATACTATACTAGAGGTATGTTGTGACTGGTTTACCTAGAGCTACTGCGTTACATGAAGATTAACCATATCCATCAGAATCAGTCACAATGTCTCAACCAAACAAGCCAGTTGCAGCCAACCCGCCACTTGCCCCTAGATTAGCTCGCAACGCGTGCGCCATTGTTGTTGGTGAGCCAAGCGCCAGACAATTTATTGGTGGCCAAAAGTTGGGCCTCAGTACCGACATCGAGTGCTTCGTCATGTTCATACCAAAGACCGAGGTAGAGAACTGGTACGGGTTCTCCATTCAAGTCCCGCTCTCGGCTGATGCCGAAGGATTGGGTCTTGGGAAGTGGCACTCCTGTACGTATTCTATTTTTATCGTCTGACTATCGCGTTTACATATAGTACTAACATTCTTAGTCAATGAGGCCAAGGGTCGTTTGACGACGACGGATTCGATATACATTACCGTCAAGTTTCCTCGGGAATCCACTTTGTCGGAGATCACGCCTGTCGATGGTGTGTTGCTGAGGGCTTTCCCTCCCTCCCTCCAGCCCCGCAAGGTCTGCCAGCTTAATGTTACTGTGGGAGACCCTGACGCCATTCGGATTGAGGGTATTGGCATGCCTTTCGCCAATCCCGGCCATAATTGCGAGAGCTGGATGCGTAACGGGGCTGTCTTCGAGGGCAAGACGTTGTTGGATATTCTCAAGTCTGGCAGATACACCTTTGTCGTCTACAGGCCTGAGCAACCCTTCCGCGTTGATTGGGACGTCACCAGATTGCCTCCCCGATTCCAGTATCCTTGGGGTACTGAGCATTATTGGGATGAGGAGAGGTATCATCTCTTGGCTGACGCCAACAAGGGTCGCCAATTCGTTCCTGCGCGCAGTTTCGACAGCGATAACAGTCACCTTGCTGTCCTTGCGCAGTCGCTCGCCCAGGACATTATTTGGGTGGACAGGGCCGCCCAGGAAATCTACTCCCAGTTCCGTATGAGGGTTTACTTCATTGAAATTGGAAATGTGGTACCGAGTCACCAGTACTACGTTTTGGCGCCACTAGAGCCTGAATTCCGGACCCGGTTTGAGGCTGCCTGGCGTCGCCTCGCCAAACAAGGGACACTCGAGCTCCATATCTTCGATGAAGAAAACTTGAAGGGAGACCCCATTGCGAACTGGGTGGCTCGAATTGTCGACAACCCAGAGAGTGTCGATGCTTTGGCGAACCATGTCGTGGAGGATTTCGAGCTGATTCTGCACGTACGACGCCCCAAGTCAAGTGAGGTGGCTCGCGGCCCAGACTTCGAACCTCAAACATTCGAGGCTCGCTATTTGGCCCAGCAGGCGCTGAAACAAAGCAATGATCAGTAGAACTGCGCTGCTTTGCACTTCGACTCGGGCATTGATGACTACATTCGCAAAATCGACGCTGTATGTCAGTTCGCGCCAGACTCTCGCCCGTCCAACCCAGAATTATTCGGGGTCGAGATTGCGGAAGACGGTCGTAGTCTGAAGGGCGATGAACGGGCAGCTGCTCGTGTCAAACAACGGCTTGAAGTGGCTCGTGCTGCCGTTCGCGGTCGAGGTTTCTACGGAGTCGACATTGCCGGTGCACGCCCAGCTGCAGGCAACCCTGATCAGCTCGCCGAGGGCGTACAAGCCGCTGCGTTTGGGGAGAAGATGCCGATTCTCCCACTTGTCAATATGCTCAACGTCACAAGCGACCCGGAGAGAAATGCCCTCATGAGTCAGCTTTTGCCTGTTGACCGCGACATCTTCGGCAAATACCTCGAATCGCGTCCTCTAGGCTTGGGTCTAGCGATAGGGGTAAGTTTTCTCTTATACCAGATACAAACTAGTACTGATCTTTCTTTGCAGGGACCTGGATTCGGCAAGACGACTCTCCTTGCTGTGGCTGCGTACGGTATGATACGGACATTCAAGTCTGTTTACGTGTCCGCTCCCACCAATGTCGCTGTTGACAACATTGCTGCTCGTATGTATGAAACGAGTCGTCGTGTTGTTGAGACGGCCAATGGCAGCATGGAATCGGGGGACCCCAACCGCCTTCGCCGACTTCTGGTTATACGGGGGTATAAGCCGGACGATGAGATGGCTGCTTTCCTCCGCCTGCTGCAGAACCCCGACTTGGGCGATCAAGCTGCCCCGGAATCGGCTTGGAGAGGCGCCTCTCGGTGGAAGCTTCACCTATCGCTGGCATACTGGGCCCTGAAGACACTGCGGTCGCAAGCGGTGGAGCCATTGCACCAGGACGACAGCACGGCCCTCTACCGGCTCCAGGCCCGCATAGACAACAGAGCTGAGTGGGCTGTTCTGCGTGGTGTTGCCGCTGGGGATCAGCCTTGGGAAGATTACGAGGCCCAACCTCTCACCGATAATCAGGTCAAGGGTTTCCTCCGGCTGTTCCTGGATGTCGCCGATGCCGTCGCCACCACACCAGCCCTCTCCTGCCAAATGCCCTATAAGCGTTGGAAGGACTCAAAGGGCCATGCCGTGGTTATAGACGAGGCTGGCAATATCAGCAGGCCGGATCTCTACTCGGTCTGGGGCAATACCATGATCCCTCTCTTCCTTGCCGGCGATGAGAAGCAGCTTCCGCCAGCAGTAATGTCCGCCAAAGATAAGGATGATGAGGGTAATGCCCTGAATCGACACGCTCCCGACGCTGGGATTTCGGCTCTGGAGTTCTTCAAGGGCACTGGCTGGCCTGTCTTCCGGCTGCGCACGCAGCTTCGCATGGCGCGCGGTCTCTTCACGCTCAGCCATGCGCTGTTCTACTCGGACGTGCCTTGTGCCTATGACCCGCGCTGCGATATCGCCAGCTCCACGCATGCTGTTGGGCGGCTTATGGAGGACTTTGTGCGCGCCAAATTCGCTGAGCTGAGGCCTTCGCCCCAGAACGAGCTGCGCGAGGTCTTCGTTCACTGCCCTGGCTCAGAATCCAAGGTCGATGCGAATGGCTCCCACAGCAACCTGCAGCAGGCCCAGATCGCCGTCGCGCTGCTCGACCAATTCGTCCGCGCCCATCGCGATGACCCCAGGGTCGACCCCGCCAATATTGGCATCATCACCCCCTACAAGGCCAATGTAGCAACGATCAACCGACAGTTGCAGAACTACGACAGCCTCCAGGGCGTAGAGCCAGCAACAACGGTCGACTCCTTCCATGGTCACGAGGCCAGCATCATGGTGCTCATTCTCGGCACCACGGAGAAGACCGGCCCGGGTTTTTCGGCCGACGAGCAACGCCTCAAGTGAGTCCAGAAACCATGTATCCACGTAGCACGCATTCTAACCAGTGAACTGTAGCGTCGCCTTGTCTCGGCAAAAGTCATATCTCCTCATCGTGGGAGACATCAACGTCACCGGCCCCGTCGTAGCACCGGCCGTAGGGGCTCAAGCCGGCGCCAGAGCCGGTCGCGGTCGCGGTGGTCGCGGTGGCGGCGCTCGGGACGGCGCTCACGTCCCCAGGGCCACGGATTACTTCCAGGTAGTTCGCGGCAACGAGGTTGTGAATATTCGGGCTGTCGCTTTGCGGGGGGCTTTGCTTGCAATCCAAAATGCAGGCCGTGTTGCAACGTTTGCAGTTTAGTTTAGTTTAATGTCAGTTTACTTTTTTGTTTGTTGGTAGTTTATTTTCGTACAAAGATTTAAATATACTTAAGTATACCTAAGTGTACCCAAGTATATTTAAGTATAGACTTAAATATTCTATGGCTTCTTAACGCCCCATTGACCATCAACTGGAGTTTCGTCTCACCTCGCATGAATTGTGCGCGAATGCTCTAGCTCCATAACGGCGGTTCTCAGCCTCAGCGTAATGTGCCGTTGGGGGGTTTCAAGAGTTGCAGAGCACGACAATGATGATGCCGCATACTGGGAAACCCATCGATGGCACGGGATCCGGGAAGGCCTGAAGGTGATGAGTATTTCGCCTGCTCACTCTGCAATAGGTCATTCTCCACGGAAAAGCTACTAAAGGACTACGAGAAAACGCACGAGAGTGCTGATTCGGAGCGCTTTGCCTGCAGTGTGTGTCGCAAGCCGTTTGCTAAGAAGACTCACCGGGACATTCATGAACAAACGCACACGGGTACAAGGCCGCATGTCTGCGGGACTTGCAAGAAAGCTTTTGCTACAATAGGTTTACTGAAGCAGCACGAAATGACATATACGGGCAAAAAGCCCTGGGAGTGTAAGATATGTGGCAAGTGTTTTTCTGCAAGAAAGGGCAACCTAGACCGTTATATGAAGGTTCATGAATAGATTAATTTGCACCAGGTGAAATGCTGTGGTTATTTATCACTGATTGCCCTGGTTGTTTTTTGTGATTATATATGAGGCTTTGTAGCTGTTAATGTTATGGCTGAGGCTCGTGGTTAGGTATGAAGCTGTGAGAACGTTCCTACTTTCATCAGTCAGGACAGAAGCCGTAAGAACTGCGCTGATTTTCTCAGCAGCGCTGCTACCGCCGGCGCCGCTGCCGCTGCCGCTCCCTCGTCTCAACACAGCGACAAACTATGTATATTAAAATAAATCAGCGAAGAGTAAATTAGGGGTACTTCGTCAAGTGGTATGATGCCTGATCCGCATAATAACGATCATGTTATAAGGCTTTTCAGGAGGTCCGGGGTTCGATTCCCTGAGTATCCATTTTTTGCAGCTGACAGCTAATTAGTCTAATACTCCCTGTTAAAGCCCTTTAAGCTGGGAGAAGCCTGATTTTTTTTGAGCTTTATAAAAGCTCTAGGAAAGAGATAAAGTATACCTCTTAGCTTTACTTCTTCTATAAGAGTTCTAATTACACTACTCCACGTAAAAGGCTATCTTATAATACTTTATTAACGCGCGCTAGGCTTACACATAGCCGCGGTTTATAGGATTAGGGCCAAAAAGGTTCAACAAGGTCAAATGTAACAGCTTCAACAGGCCCAAATTAATCAGCGGCAGCAGCTTTGCTCACACCCATGGCAAGGGCTCACGTTGGCATCAGACCCAGGTATAAATCACGACACTCAATACACTCAGCAAATCCCACCTCGGTGGCCCAAAAGCCATGATGGCCGAGCAATCCAATAGTTTCATACAACTCCATCGATAACCGCCAACCGCTGAATAGCCAGCCAGCCACTAGGCCCAAGCTAATGAGCTGGGCTTGTGGAAGTGTCAACACGTGGGCTCCGGGTTGGCCTCCCACTGGCCCGCCTATTAGTATGTCACTGCTTTGAGAGGCCAATTTTACTAGTTGAGTAACTAACGTATTATTGCGGGCTTTTTTGCACAGTCAGCGGTTGGTTCGGGTAGGCGTTTTTTCCATTTGGGAATTCGAGGCGGGAATTTTGCAACGGAGCATCCCGAGTACTACTCTCGCTCAATTAGGGATGATGCACAAAAGCCAAGTTTTGTCTGGGCCAGTCACAGGGCCGGGCGCGGTCTTGGTATTTCGATGTGCAGATTTGGCTTGCCAAGATCCCTGTTTCTGGGGATGCGGCTGGAGGGATTTTTCACTAGGTGTCCGGTGTTTCTCGAGATATCTCATGGCGTACGGGGTGGCGACTTGCGACATTGTCACGGATCGTGTTATATTTGGGTAAATCCCGCGGTGCAACATTTTGGTCGATTCTCCGGGAGCAGAGGGATCATGGGAGGGTGTTTCCTACAAATTCATGTTTCAGTTGCTGCATGAAGTGGAAGCATAAAGTGGAAGTGGAATGTGTGCAAGCAAAGTATCCCATAAATAGATGCGTCTGCTACGGGGTGTTTATGCTTTTTATATTCTCGTTTGGGGGGGCGTCGCTTGACTTGAGAGAGGAGCCCCCTTTGAAGGCGCTAATTTTTGAGTTCTGTGCATAGAAGAGATGTTTCTTTCAAACAGAACACGGGTCTATAGCTGGACAGGGGACAAATCTGATGCGTGGTTCAAAGACGGTGTGTCAATATCCAACACAACGGACGACGTGAAACGTGATATTGCTTTGCATGTGTATACACCGATTCGTCGTAGGAAATGTAATCGGAGGCATGCAAAGTCAGCAGAAGCCTGGTCCATTGACACATCGGTACGAGTGACGCGAGATGGACATGTACTGAATTTGTCATCTGGCGACCAGGTGATGGATGAGCGGCTCACATTAGTGAATGCACCCCTTGAAAAGTCACCATCTAGTTGCATTAAGAAAAGCGACTTCACCATGCGAGCGCCACAAGGAGCCAGAGGCAATCCTGGCTGGTGTCTTTTCAAGCTCGCAACAATCTATTTCCAAGGTTGCGGCCATGGCCGTTTTGCTTCGTCGTGCGGCCTCGTGCCACCATAAGCATTGGCGAATAACCTCGACCCTCGTTTCAAGATTCCTTGCCCTCCAAGTTTTTGCGTGCTTTCGGGTTTTATGTTTATTACATGTGTGAGGTTTGACGTTGCGTGTCGCGTCAACCGCATTGATCATGTCTTTCAGCTTCATCGCAGTTTACTGAGTGAGGTGCAATCCGCGGCATGTTGCAAATGATCTGCACATCTGCCAAAATGAGGTGATTGAGCTTTGCCAACGGATAAGACGCCACCGTACATGGTGGTCTGGGGGAAGAGCGCCTTTGTCGAGCCAATGGTTAGTTACCTACTCGCTCATCAAAACCCCGACTCAACGTGCAAAACAAGAGACATGGGGTACATGAGCGCCTCGTATAGAAGATTTCACATCGCCATCCCGCAGACGGGCATCGTCATTAATACATCGGTGGGGGGATAGTTCGGCCGCCTGAGCAGAATAAATAAGCTTAGTTATCCTTGTCCCAGAGCATATAAGTAATGAAATGATAAATAGTTCAAGTTACATCGGCCCACGTCGAAAAAAGGCTGCAAGCCCGCGCGTCGGATGCTCCTTGGGTCACGATGCTGCTCGATGGTTGGCCTATGCCGTCTTCCACGAGGGCCCAGGCTTCGTCAGAACTTGCGTAGGCGTGTGGTACTGCAACAGGGCACGGATGGGTGATGCGTCCTAGCAACCCGATTGCTCGACTGATAATGGGTTTCAACCACGGGGGTGAGAGCACGGTTGTAACGAGAGGCGTTCAGCTCAGCTTCGGCTATCGTCCGAGGAGAAGTTCTCTTAGGGCACGGAGTAGCCAGGCCTCCAGATTTCCTTTTAGCCTGTCGCTCGTTCTCGCCGCGGCATTAGGTGGCCCAGACGAGCACTCGAGGAGACACCAAGCTTTCTTTGTGGCGGCGGCCCACTATCACGAGAGGAGCATGGCAGGGCAGGGGACTTGAGAGAGTCGGCGATGGTCCAGACGCTGTTTCACCCTGCGGTCTCGCTTTGCCCGGCTGTCAGTAACACTATTGGCATGTGGGTAGCGACGTCTAATTCATGTTGGTTGGGGATTGATTGACCTTTACTGACAAGACAATAGGATCGGGGTGTTCGGTGCGCTGTACAGAGGGCACCGTGCATGTCGTGCTTACTCTTGTTCCATAGCGACAGGAAAAGAGATGCGATCGACGCATGTTGGTCAATTGCGGCTGGGCTGATGGACTGACCCTGGGCCACAATCTTGTTTGCCCGGTGGACAGAGTCGGGCAATATGAGGCCACGATGTTTTCAAGGGCATTGACTCGAATGAGTCCACCCGCTGTTCATGCTGAGTCGTAAAGACAAAAAATTGAAATGAAATAGAGGTAAAAAAAAAAAAAACCACTCGCCTCTGGCGTACGCTGTCGTCGGGCGACATGTCGAACCATGACGGCGGACCTGGTGCTGGGGTCATGACTTGTGGCCAGTCCCATGTTGTCAATGCCGTCCGTCTTGAACTGGTAACTTCCAGTAGATTAGTGTGGCGTAGAGCTTCGCCCGTCTTCAGTCTTTTTGGTCACCGTTGTGCCGTCGCCAGACCCTTTGATTGACCGTGACCCCATTTTCCACATCCACAATTGTCGAAGCCGTGGCTGATTTCCATCAGGCCTGTGATGCCATTCTCAAAGGCAAAGCGTGCCGGGGGACGGGCGGGAACCCATGGCGCCGGCAAGGCTTTTTTTTTGGCTTAGAGGTACCTGACACTTCTGCCTGGTATGTATGGAGCATGTCAATACTTGATAGGTTTGCTAGTGGGGGGGAAAGAGGTCCTCGGCACCTCTTAGCCGAGCTCCCAGGCTCAACATTGAATGGCGCACCCGTTGGCTCCAAAAGCACAGTGCAGGAAGAGTGAGAGGCATGGTGTTCAGTGAGTGCTGTTTTGCATCACCACCACCACCACCACGTCCTCTGCACTCCGTCCCCTCTTGCGATGTCAGGCCCTGCCTCTGGCCCATTTACCCGTCATGGCCCTGGTCTGGCCTTGTCAGGCCTGCGTCCCTGCAGCTCCGCCTCCGCTTCTCGACGCCCACTGACTGACCCATGCTCACGCCCACGCCCACGCCCACACTCATGCTCATGCTCATGCTCAAGCTGGTGCTCGTGCTCAGGCCTCTCACACGCCGGCCATGATACTGGACACCAGGCCTTACACACAATATCATGTACACACCTGCTCTTGAGTTTGCCTGTTACTCTCTGTGTGCTGCACCCCCCGCCCACCTCCACCTCCCAGTCACTCCCTCCTCCCCGTCCAGCCTTATATCTCGACCAGCCCGTCTCTCGGATGCCTCGCCCGCACAGTCGTTCCCTCTCTCTCTGAATCTCGTTTCCCCCCAAAACTGCTCACGCATAGTGCTGCACAAAGTATATACATTTGATTTCACCCCAAACCACAAACAAGACGATAAAAAAAAGGACCTGCCTTTCCGCAGTCGAGAAAACCAACCCGTCTGACAGACCACTCTTGGCATCCAAGTACTCACTCACTTACAAGCAGCCCCAAAGCGGCTCCAGTCCAAGACCAACGCACCCGACCCGCGCTCATCGCCGACGCCTCTCGCAACAAAATCTATTTCTTTCATTGTTATAGAAAATCCCCAGACGCCGTGACCACGCACCGGGCTGAGAACGGGTCACCCGTCATCTCAACTCTGCCGCGTGCCGCGCATGAAAGAGTGAAATAGCAGCAACAAAATCCTCGACCCACGATCATTTACCACCCAAAAAAGAAGAAAGAAGAAACCTCGCGGCATCAAAGAAATGCGCCTCTCGCTCATCCTCGCCTCCCTCACAGCCGCGGCCTCCGCCGCCCCGGCGTGGCACCAGGGCCCCGTCATGGCCGACGACGGTGACCTCATGGAGCGCAGGGACGTGGTCCGCGTGGAAGTCGTGCATGCCCACACCAGCCGCTTCACAAAGACAATGATTACCAAACTCACCCGGTATGCCGCCGACGCCGCCTCGGACGTGCAGGGCTTCTTGGCCGAGTCCTTCCGCGGCGCCGTGGCAGACGGCACCGGCGAGGTCATGACCATCACGTACGGCAAGAAGACACCCCCCTTGGTCGTGGGCTCCGGCGGCAGCAGGGGAAAGGGGCTCGGCCGCCACTGTCATCACCGGCACAGGATTTCGCTGCTGGGCTTTAGGAATCGGCTGGCTGCGTTTATTTTGGCCTTTTCGTTGGTTTTGGCCGTTGCGTGCTCATATTTCAGACGGTGAGTTTTCTTTTCTTTTCTTTTTTTTTTCCGAAACTCTCTTTTTGTTCCCCCCTTATCTCTCACTCCTGTTGGCCTCTGTATGCTTTGGGAGGCTCCTGGGGAATAGGTTGTGACTGACTTTTTCATTTTCAGGCTACATGTTGCGTCGCCGCAAGAAGCAGTGGAGGATCCCGTCGACTCGGCACGGGCGGAAAAGGCCCTGCTGTCACGGAGCAGCAGGGAAGACGAGACGACGCAATCATGAAGAGCTAGGTTGCTGTTAATGGCTGACGACGACTCATAACTGACGCGCCAAAACATGAAAAAAAGGGGGGTGAATACTGCGGAGAAGACTTGCATCACGGGATGGATCGCTACTTTGTGATACCGACGATATATTGCATGGGGTACATCTATATTAATCAGCACGGCGTTATTTATCAGGGCGCTCGGGGGGCGTAATGGCTCCAAAGGAAAGCAAAGACTACATCATATTCTCACATATGACGCTCGCTCAAGACGGGGACCCAATATACCACTAATATACTTTGTGTATACTCGTAAAAGCACCCCACGATTTATTCTGGCTCGCAATTGCAATCACCCCACCGGTATCCAATAACCCCTTTGCTCCCTATCGTCCGCTCGTCACCCGAGACAACGATTGCGCGCCCAACTTTGCCAAAACCAACAACCTGCCCCATAGGACCAATTGGAATATAGTACCCTGAAAACTGATGGCTACAGAAATGAGAGCCTGCAGAGGGGGAAAAAGGGGGGTTGCCGAGTTTCTAAAACAACGCACCAATGCTGCAAAGCAAGGACATGTATGCGCCAATCAACAACTTCACCTCTGAACCACAAAAATAGAAGCAGGTCCATTCTACCCCTGATGTACCATTTCGAAACGCCAAACACAATTCCTTGCCTTTGCAATGCGTTGGCGCAGATTCCTGCGGCTCAGACCATGGGTCAGCTGACGTGCCGTCGCGAACCTCGGCTGAGACGGGTATCGTGGGGGAAAAGACCCGACTGCCGTCCCAAGGCGTACCAAATGTCTTGAGCTAGAGCCGTTGAGAGATGGCAAGGACGAAATATCACGGCTACGTCTCTTTTGCTTGCATCGGCCATGGCTACCTATGAGACTGCGCAAAATCAGTATGTGAATGTTGGGGGGACGAGGTTTGCGTACCGGCGATTGGGGAGGGCGTACGGCGTGCCGTTGGTTCTGTTTATGCATTTCAGGTTTGTCAATGAAATTTGCGATTTGCTCCCCCCGGGGCCGGCCTTGTTTCTTTTTGAATCTTTGAAAGGGTCACAGCCTGGCTGACACGGGTCATGTCCCGTCCTTCTCTCCTCCAGGGGCACAATGGACCATTGGGATCCGGCACTGATCAATCCGCTGGCTGGGCGTCGGCGGTTGTGCTCATTGACAACTCTGGTGTTGGACGGTCGCAGGGCCAGGTAGCAAGGACGTTTGCAGACTGGGCCAGGAACTATGTCGACGTGATGGAGGCGATTGGGATCCGGCGGGCGGATGTGATGGGCTTCTCGATGGGAGGATGCGTCGCACAAATGGTTGCTCTCAACGCTCCCTCGCTCGTGCCAAGCCTGATTCTCTGCGGCACCGTTCCGAGCATTGGTGACGGTGTCGTAAAGGCGCCGCTCGGGCCCTTCAACAAGCTCAAGGCCGCCGTGACTGTCGAGGAGCATCGCAGCGCCTTTCTAGATGCCTTCTTTCATACCTCGGAGCGCAGCCAGGCCGCAGGCATGGCCGCCTGGGACCGCATAACCCGGGCTCGATCTGACAGATCAGATCATGTTGATGCCCAAAACGCCCATAGGCAGGCTGTTTCATTCGCCAAGTTTATGGATCCTAAACAGGCTGCGGATGCATCGTACCACCGCTTCCATGAACTTCGACTTCCGGTGCTGATTGCGAATGGTACGTTTGTTTTTCATTACACATGTGTGTTTTTTCATAGGAAAAACTCATCACCGAGTTCGTCAACAACGAGCGGCTTCGTCTAACTTTGAATATCTCTAGGATGCAATGATCTTTTGTTGCCAACAGACAACAGTATCCTCATGTGGAAGAAACTTGGCCACGCAAATGCTCAGCTTCACTTGTATCCCGATTCAGGCCATGGGTTTCTTTTTCAGTACGCCACCGTATTCTCGGGTCTGATAAACGAGTTCCTTGACAACGTTGCGGAACAAACCAGTCGGCTCCAAGGTTCCGAAATGTACGCTTAGCAACGTCTTAGTCATTCTGATTATAACACAAAACCATTCAAGGACCAAAACTGTTTTAGTGGTTCCTCTTCATGTGTCTCGGTGTTTCCGTCAGGTTGAGGTCAAGGTGAAGAGTTTGGTCAAGTTGTCTAAGAGTACGAACCTGACTGGATTCCAAGATGATAGAGTGCAACCTTGGGATGCATGGACATTTGATGCTTACAGTGCGAAAACCTTGTCATCTTGGACCAGGAGACCAAGTGATAAGACAAGATGCATGGTGACTGTGGAAGGTCAACCAACGGAAGCGTGCAAAACCGCCAGGGAGCCGGGTAGATACGTCCACAAGAAAGCTGCACCGGTGGGCAACGTGGCAAACGCCCGATGTCGCTCACATCGCCATCGCCATCGCGGGTTGGGCCTGCGTCGTCAATGCAGTGTCCATGCATCGTTCCCGTCGCGCAATGACAACACCAGTAAGATTCTACCAGGAAAAGATGCGGATTGTGGCCGCTCCCCCCGCGATTTGCATGAGGACCGTCCCGATAGTTTGCACCAAGTTGCTAGCTGTCATGCGGCTGCCCGTGCTTTTCTCTATGCAAGTTCCTGAGACATGACCCTGCCACTACATGGGATGTAAGGAGTCCATGGAGCTGAATTTCATCTAAACCATAACGCCTATTGGGTTGTTGGCCGAGTGATGAACCCAACATGACGCAGCTAGCCGCTGGGAACACTGGGAGCACTGGGTACAGACCGTCGGTGAAGCTAGACCCCAACCCCGGTGTCTGTGACACAGTGTGTGTCTTTTGTCAGTCGCCATGTCGACGATGTCTTCAGCAAGTGCTCCGAAGCGACCGAGCCAGACACCATACGGCTCGGATCCATGAGATGATGACGATGGCGTTGGGCTTTTTGCCGGACGATAAGTAGCGCCACGTCCGTGTCTCCTCCGTGTGTTTCGTTATTAGTAGTCCGCCACATTGATTCAGCTGTACAAATCTGGCCCCATTCATGTCCCGACAGCTTGGGACGGGGCTGAAACTAAATTGCCTCTTTCCCCTTCAAATATAAACAGAGCCGCCATAGACAATCCCCAGCGGCTCCGAGGACAACTCGAAACATCACAAGATGGCGGCTCCACAGTGCCGTGGTGACTCAAAGAGCGAGTGTACACAAAGCCAACGTTGCTGCCAAATGGCAACATTTGCCGGGTTACCTACTGAGCTTCGGCTCAAGATATGGTCCTGCGCCGTGGAACCTCGGGTTGTTATCTTGGACGACCTGGTTCACCAGAAGCAGGCATATCCACTGCCCTCGGTCACGCAGTTGAATGCAGAGGCCCGCGCAGAGACTCGACAAGGCTACGAATCAGTCGGACGCGGGTCATGTTTTCACTTTTCACGAGATATATTGGTTTGTGACGCCAATATTTCGGACCAGAGTCCAAACATGCCACTGGAAGAGCTGGCGCTGCGCGTGCAACGGCTCGCGTTCTGGGACTGCTTTCCCGACGATGGCCGCATAGACGGGCCGTGCCATTACTCGGAGTATCTTGCACGATGTTACCCTGGCGGACACGACGGCAAAATCGAGTTTGACAAGTTTTGGTTTCCGAATTTGCGCGACCTCTGGATCGTAAAGATCGGCGAGGTGGATCGGTCCTGGATGGTAGGGGTCGACGAGGACGTGCCGTGCGAGGTTGGCCTTCGAAAAACGGCACGACAGTTCCGATACTGGGTCGACGAGAACATTATCGAGATTGCCCCACTAGACTTGAGCGAACCAGAGACCAAGCTCATCCTGCGAGAAGGGAGGTGCGGCAAAATGGACTGTCAAATGCTGAACCACGGCCGGCAGAGAATGGTGTCGAAAATTGTCTTTGTTGATGGCAAGTACAATACCAACAGGCAAGACAACGAGGCAAACAAATGGAAGCAGATTTGGCCTTGGTCGACCGTGATCGAGCAAGGGAGCGCGGAAAGCGAAAGCGAAAGCGACACATCTGCCAACCGGATGAGATGGATCATGGTTGAGCGTATTCTGACATTTTCACTGCGATGGGACGGTTCTGAAGACCTGGGTGAACCATCGTCTGGCCATCGACGAGTACGCCACGGGCAGGGGGGCGATCAAACTTGTCTAAAGCTCAAAAAAAGGTAAGAATAAGAAGAAGGAAGGAGACCAGAACTATTACGGCATAATCTTCGATTCACGCATATACGTAAACGACTTTGAGCGAGACGATGTGACTTTGAGATGAGACGAGGAGCCACTGAGGGGGACTTGAGGACTTGAGGATTGAACACAGGCGGAGGAAGGCGCGCCGCACGAAGCACGTGCATCTGAATATCTTCAGAGCCTCGTGACTAATCAATGGGGCTTGCATGGCAGTCAAGAATCAAGTTTGTGTCCTGCGATAGGATTCGAATATCTTTATGGCACTGTCTCTTGTCATTCATTGGTGGCGACTGGGAAGAGCAGCGTTTCGTCATCAACTATGCACACCAGTACCATGTACATTGCTGTCCTTTTAGAATAATCAGACACTTCAAGTTAACGTCTTGCCATGAATTGATTCGAGACGAGTTGGACAAGGGGCTCAGACTAGCAACTGGGCTGTGAATCATGCATATATATGCCTTGACCAGAGGCGTCGTCCAAACAACACGTCTGAAAAAAACCACGGAGAAGATGTTCTGCATCATCAGCCTTGGGATCACCGCATCATAGAGATTGGCATGCAGCCTTGTTAGATGATACAGTATACCTTCCAAGCTCGATATTCTGGACACAGGGCAGGGTTACAGCCTGCCGCCGGATGTTATATGTCTATCGTCGGCTGCAGGACAAGACGAGACGGTACGTTCTCGTGTCTTCTTTTTCTTTTCGGGCACCACACAGTTATCCCGACGGTATAGACCTCGGGCTCGGGAAACGCGGATCTCTGCGCTTTCACATTTCCATAACTGTCTAGATCGGACGATCCGGCAAATCCGGTGCCGACTTTGACTCACGGACTGCAAAAGC